TCCTGCATCAGTACGGCTCCTATACCTACACCAGAAGCATCACATTCAATCTCAAAAGTTTTGAGAAAATTTAAGGGGCGTGAGTAAGCTTGTGTTTTAGCAGCTGGAATGCATCCTCTTGGGCTTGTTCCCACTTAAAGCCCACGTCCTTCTTGATGACCTCGGTTAGTGGTGCGGCAATGGTGCTGAAGTCCCGAACAAATTGCCTATAGAAACCTGCTAGGCCATGAAAGCTTCGGACTTCTCCAACCGTCTTAGGGCTTGACCAATCTCGGATGGCCTTAATCTTTTCCTCGTCTACCTGTATGCCCTGTGAACTCACCATAAACCCTAAAAAGACCACGTTATCTGTACAAAAAGAACATTTCTTAAAGTTACCAAAAAGTCTTTCTTGCCTAAGCACCTCTGGAACCTGTCGCAAATGTCCCACATGATCATCTAGAGTTTTGCTGTAAATCAGGATATCATCGAAATATACTACAACAAAGACTCCTATGAAAGACCTAAGGACATGGTTCATTAAATGCATGAAAGTGCTGGGTGCATTAGTAAGGCCAAATGGCATGACAAGCCACTCATACAGACCGTGTTTGGTTTTGAAAGCGGTCTTCCACTCATCACCTTCCTTCATCTGGATTTGGTGATAACCACTTTTAAAGTCAATTTTCGAAAAGACACTAGACCCATGTAACTCATCGAGCATATAATCTAACCTGGGAATGGGATGGCGGTACTTAACTGTGATGTTGTTGATAGCCCGACAGTCTACGCACATCCTCCAGGTTTCGTCCTTTTTCGGCACAAGCAAAACGGGTATCGCACATGGACTCATGCTTTCTTGGATGTAGCCTTTCTCCATAAGCTCGCCAACCTGCTTCTGAAGCTCCTTTGTTTCAAGTGGATTGGTTCTGTAAGCTGGCCGGTTCGGTAAGGAGGCTCCAGGTACAAAATCAATATGATGCTCGATCCCTCGGATCTGTGGCAAGCCGCCTGGGTTGTCTTCCGGGAACACATCGGAAAATTCCTGCAAAACAGATGAAATACTGCTCGGAAGAACCGGCTCTGGGTCAGAAATACTAGTCAAAGCATCCTTAAACAAGAGAAGAATGAAAGGCTGCCTAGAAAGCAAGGCGTGTTTAATCTCACTCGGCCTCACAAATAATGAATGGTTTGATCTCCCGGGTTCATTCTCAAAGGCCATTTTCTGGGTTTTTCTCAGACTCTCACTCTCAGATTTAGTGGAAGGGGTATTTGGAAGATCACTCACAATGGATTTTCCTTTGCTGTTCTGCTCGAGTCTAAGTTGGCCCAAAGATACCTCGCGGGGAGATAAGGGTGCAAGAGTAACCTTCCGGCCCTTGAATTCGAAGGAAAGTTTGTTGGTAAAGCCGTCGTGTACTGCTCTCCGGTCATACTGCCATTGTCTCCTGAGTAATATATGGTCGGCCTCCATGGGTAACACATCGCACACCACTTCGTCCTCGTATCGGCTGATGGCTAAGGGCACCGAAACCTGCTTAGTAACCTTCAGCTGCCTCTGATTGTTTAACCACCTAAGGCTGTATGGCTGCAGATGTTTCCGAGTGACAAGGTTCAATTTCTCCACCAAGGTAGTGCTATCAACGTTCGTGCAGCTTCCTCCGTCTATGATAAGGCTGCACACCTTTCCCTGAACAACACATCGGGTATGAAAAATGTTTTCCCGCTGTTCCTCCTTCTTGACCGGTTCCTGAGTTAGCAAAACCCGTCTGGATACGAGCAATTCACCCTCGGCTGCATGCTCCTCATCATCGTCGAAAACTGGTCCGGTATCCTCTTCGTCATCTGACACAATCTCACCCGAGTCAAGCAAAATCATTGCCCGCTGGTTCGGACATTTGTTGGCATAATGCCCTTTGCCTCTATACTTGAAGCACTCAATGTCCCTGTTCCTGACCGGGGTAGCTTCGGCCTTGCCTTTGTAATCGGCTGTAGATGAAGTCGGCTTGGAATCTAACTTGGGCTTGGCATCAGATCGGGAAGGATAGCTCGGTTTGTCATTGGGCCGCGAGCTGGATCCATACTGGGCAGTGCTCTTCCTCTTCAACTGCTGTACCACAAGTATGGCCTTATGGTACATGTCGGACAAACTTCGGTAGGTCTCCATCTCCATACGATCCTGCATGTCTCGGTTCATACCGCTAAGGAACCGTGCCATAGTAGCGTCTTCCGGTTCTTCTACGTCGGCTTTGAGCATCAGTCGCTCCATTTCCTGGTAGTAATCCTTGATATTCTTGGGGCCCTGGGTCAGCCGCCATAGTTTATTGTGTAGTTCCCGGTTGTAGTAGCTCGAAACAAACCGCCGTCGCATTAGACCCACCATCTCGTCCCATGTCTCAACGGGTCGATCCCCGTTCCGTCTCCGGTTGGTGACAATCTGATCCCACCAATTGACAGCATAGCCGTGGAACTCTATAGCTGCCAGGTTGATCTTCTTTCTTTCTGTAAAATTCTGGCAACCAAACACGATCTCGATCTTCTTTTCCCACTCCAGATAAGCATCGGGATCGTTCTTCCCATAAAAGGGTGGTATTCGCAACTTCAGCCCGCCAAGGTCGTTATCAGGTCGGCCTCGGGCTGCATCTGGTTCGTGCCGTTCTTGTCTTGGGTTGTGGTCATGGTTTGGCCGATCACGATCCTCCCGACCTCGCCTGTGTCGAATCCTACTTCCATCCGAGGAGTGTTTGTCATTATAAAATGGGTTTTCGTTGACAACCTCTTCCTGGTCTTGAGTTCTCCTCCTCTGGCATAAACGGTTTCGACCACCATCGCTTGGTCCGGCTTCATCAGCTCGTCGGGGCTACGTGGTCTCTAACCGTTCCATACGCCGGTTCATGCGACTCAACATCTGGGTGATCTGATCCATTTTATGAACCACGGCTGCGTCCCTTATTTCTCCTGAACGAACACAGGATGGATCTTCACTAGAAGACATGATGTACCTCGCAAAATGAACAAACAAGTTAGTAAAAGTTTTCTCACAAGTGTTTCACTCAGTGTTTCACTCAATCACTCTTAAGGTTCTCACAACACTAGAAACTCTCCTCGGTTCTTGTAGAACTAGATCGAAAACTCGATTTAAGCCCAAACCAAAACAGAATATCAAGCGGATTATGAAGAAGGAAAAGAGTAGATAGACAGAAAAGATGTTCGTTTTCAACCAGATCTTCTTTTCTTTTCTTTTCTTTTTTGATTTTCGTTTTTTCCTCTTTTTTTTATGATCTGGGAATTTTACAAAACAAAGAGAAGATAAGGCGGAAGTTTAAAAGACTAAAAGATAGATAATATCGATTTCAGGGGTGTGGCTCTGATACCACTTGATATGATCTTCCCAAGGAAATCACACTCTTGATCGGATTTGGCTGATAGATCCTTGACTCTAAACGGTTTCACGGAGAAGATGCTAAGGGGTGGGTTGAAACCCGAAGATCGTTAGGCCCAAACTCGCGGTGAAAGGCTTGAAACAAGGGGGTGACTAAGCTGGCTGATTGGATCCGCGGAAAAATGATGTTAAGGCGTGAGAACTAAGTTCCCGAAAATCCTTAAGCCCTTTTAACTACTTGAACGTCCCAACGAGACAACTGGGTGAAGGTTGCGTCAAGTGTAATGAACGACACTTGATAAACCGAAAATGATCAATGGCTAACCACCAAGTAATCAGAAAAAGTTCACGAAGAACAAAAGAGAGAATTCTCTAAGAAATTTTATTAAGGAAAAAGTGAATGAATGAGATCTGGGATCTCTACATCGTTTATATAGAAGAAGGAGCAGGCGAAAAGCCATACCCGGTAAAGACAGTTTATTACATGAAGCTAAGACCAAAATAAATAAAACTTGGACTGACTCCTCGGCTGCCTTGACTGACTCTTGGACTGCCAGCCGAGATGACTCTTGGAATTCTTCATGAGTTTGGGCCGTAAAGGAATGTAAGCCCATAGCCTCGTTAAAACCTCTACCCGGAAAACCCATTGGGACAAAACCGAGCACAGGAAAAAGAGTACCATGAACTTACACGCTGGCCAAACCTCAATCCGATTTCTGGTACGATACTGAGGTCAAGATAGCAAGTGTAAGTTGATCTTCATTGACCCGGCCATGAACCTCCATGTTCCTGATTCCCTCAAGCAAACTCCGAACAGCTCCAGCAAGCTTTCGGGTCTTGGACCGCGTTAAAGGACCCTCCGGAACAACCAGACTGATTCCGGAACCTCCATTTGTGCCTCTGGGTCCATGATCACATCACTTGTATCTGCTAACTTTTCCTCAGTGAATGGAGTGTAAGACTTATTTTCTTCTTAATATAATGATTGTTCGACAAAAAAATGAGGTGCTCAAAAATAGAATATCAATTTTTAAAAAAAAATAACCAAAAAATTATAGGTTAATGTTATGTTATATGTTATTATATAAAGTTGAATGCGTTTACGAAATCGTGATATATGTTATCATTAATTTTTTTCTAATATGAAAGGCTCGTGTGAAATACCATTTATGGATTTGCTTGTAGAGGTGAATTTAGGATATTCTAATATACGTATACCTAAGTTTTTGTAGGAAAAACGAAACAACGAAGCTCCGTTGTTTCGATGTACTAGTCTCTGTGATTTCCTCCACTAAACTTCACAAGTTCCAGTTTTTTCTAGGGTTTTGTTCTGTTCCTTTTGAGTGGCTGTGTTTTCTTTTGTTACTAAATCGTTTGTGTGGGCCTGTTTGCTTCAACAGAAGGGCTTGTGCTCTCATTATTTAGTCAATTGGTCCAAGTACGAGAAAAAAAAAGGAAATCGTGACTTGTACAAGTCGGCTAAAGTTGTGTTACTTAAGGAAGAAGATATCGAAGCAGAAGACCTAACACCGAACAGAAAGAGACGTGAGCGAGAAGAAATCAGAGTTCGAGTCTTTGTGTTCTCTTTCTCTATTTTCCATTGTTATTCAGCGGTAACAGTATCTTGAATTTGTACGCTATGGACAGAATCAGTAGACTACCTGAAGAATTACTGGTGAAGATATTATCGTTTGTTCCAACAAAAGTTGCTGTGTCCACAAGCATCTTGTCGAAACAATGGAAGTTTCTTTGGAAGTTGGTGCCCAAACTCGAGTACGATAGTAGATATTATTCAAATTCTGAATGCGAGAGGTTACAGAGTTTTCTTAACAGAAATCTGCCATTACATAGAGCTCCGCTTATTGAAAGCTTCTGCCTCGAGTTTAGTGCAAAACAATATAAACCTGAGGATATCAAACTGTGGGTTCTAACTGCAGTTTCTCGCAACCTACGAGAGCTGGAGATTTCTCAAATTTATTCTTTGGGCGTGCAGAACAACATATTGCCGAGTAGCTTGTATACCTGCAAAACGCTCTTGACCTTGAAACTCTATGGAACGACTCTTGTGGATGTTCCTCGTATGATTTGTCTTCCTTGTCTGAAAACTTTGCAACTTGAAGGGGTCACATACTCCAGTGAAGATTCTCTTCAACAGCTTCTATCTAATTGCCCTGTTCTTAAAGATCTATATGTGGAAAGTCGTGCATGTGATAATTTGAGAAAGTTCATTGTTATCGTCCCATCTTTGAAACGTTTAAAATTCCGTACATTTTATGATTTAGATGAGATTGTGATAAAGACTCCTTCTTTGAAGTACTTGAATTTTACATATTATAGTTCTAAGATTCACCACTGTTTGATCGAGAATATGCCTAAGCTGAGGGAGGCATATGTAGATGTTAGCTGTCCTATTCTCAAGAGGCTTATCGGATCAATCACATCTATCAAGCGTCTCACATTATGGCAAGTAGACTATGGTTTAGAGGTATTCAGTTCATCAATTTTATGTATTCAATCTCATTTTATAGAATCTTGTGTTAGTGAATATTTTAGTATTTGTGTGCAGGGTGTGTATGGTGATGGTTTTGTCTTCAACCATCTTGTACATCTGAATCTTAATATACGTATATTCCAAAGATATTCGCTGAATGTGCTTGTCCGGCTGCTCAAAGATTCGTCTATGTTCCGTGTGCTAGATCTACATCACAATGGAAGGAATGTAAGTTTCTTCAATAAACATTGTTTTCATAATTCACACACACACACACACTATGGTTTTCATGAGTCTAATTTTTCTTCTTGATACTCAGGTTCATGGAACTTATAATGGTGTACGTTTGTGGAATCAACCAAGTACTGTTCCTGAATGTATGTTGTCGAGCCTACAAACTTTCAAGTTTTCAGGATACTTAGGAAGACCAGAAGAGAGAGATCTTGTGATTTATGTCTTGAAAAATGCACATCACTTAAAGACCGCAACAATCTTGTCTAAAGATTATTTGTTTGAAGAAAACCCTGACATGATACAAGAGTTGGCACTTTCTCCTCGCGCATCAACCGATTGCCAACTTGTACTTGACAGGGCTGTGCGCACCTTTATATGAAAAAGGCATCAGCCTCAGCCCCCAATTTACCATCAAAATTTAGAGTCCAACTTTTATAAAGTATATTGACATATGTCTTCATGTATCCATGGGGTATTTTATATTTTTGAGTTTGATTGCCCATATAATTCTTTTTTTAACCTTTGCCAGTTTTGTTGTCTCAACTTATCTAATTATTTTTACCAAAAATTTTTATCTCATTAATTTTAAATTTATTTCATACATTCATAAATTATTTTACATAATTTACTCTAGAGTCTATACTATATAACTAGAGTGGTAATTACAAACTTTATACGTATATTTTTAAAAAAATATAATAAAATTCCTACATAAAATAGACAAATGCATGATATGATGTTAAATAAAACTTTATCATGTAAGTAATATTTGTTAACAGCAAAAAAAAATCAAAAACTTAATTTTATTCTTATTCTTTTTTTTTTAATTAATTTTTTGTCTATTTTTTAACTCGCCTTAAAACCCCCGAAAACATAGGCACTACTTAATCGGTGTTCTATAGCTATTTTTATTGGTGTGGTTAGTTTTATCATCTGGAGCTGTTTAAGACTACATATGTTTATGATCATAGTCTAGTCTAAACCGAATTACGAACCTTAAATCTGATCTTTTAAATGGCTTTGTTTCTCTCTTTTTTTTCTTCTGTCCTGGATTGTTCGTTAGGCACTTAAGAAGAGAACTTGAGATGGTAGAGAAGTTAAAAAAAAACTGGCGGTGTTTGGTTTTTCGGGTCACGTTTATAGCCGAAACAAAATTACAAACCGATCGGTTTGGTTGAAGACTTGACTAAACCTTAGCTATTCAACAGCTTCCTTATTCATTTTGCTTAGGCTTTAGACAAACTCCGTTTGAGTATTATGGTGTGTAATCCAATTTCCTATGTTATGTTTGTAATGTAGAAACTTTTCTTAGCAAGTTTCTTAAATAATTATACTTTTAAGACGGCTAGAGTTAAATCAAAACACAATGTTTTGTTTTTGTCAAAAAAAAAATCCCAAAACAAGAAAATTAAAAAATTTTCTCTTTTACAATTAACACATAACTGGATACAATTGAGTTAGCTGGATTCAATTTACAATTGCATTGATATGAATGAAGAACTCAAATTTTCAAATTAGAGATTTTTTATAATTCTTTTATTTTTCCCTAATAGATTTGGGCATTTTGTTTCAAGATATGTACAGTTTGAACTTTGATTAGTGTTTTCATATCTTTTAATACTCTTAATTTTTCTACCCGCTATTATCCAAATTTTCTGTCCAATAGAGATAGTTGGAAAAGGTGAACTGAAAAGAGAGAACAATTAAAAGTATAAGCACACAGCGCAGTTAAAGCCATATTAGGCTCACACAAAATATTAGATCATATGGTATTAGGACTGGAATTATTATTCAATATATCCGGTCTCTGATCCGGTATTCGATCATATCCGATTCGTAAAAATCGAATATCTGTATAGTTCAGGTCTGGATAATGAAATTAAGTATTCGATTATTCCAGATACGGATTCTGATAATATAAAATTTTGAAATCAGATATCCGTTATCTGTTTATTAAGTATTTATTTATTTTGATGATATTTATTGAAATTTATATTGTATGATAATTTTTTATTTCATATTGTAAAAAAATAGATAACACATGGATATGAAGATAAATTAACTTTTCTATTACTATTTTCTCTTTTGTATGTTTAAATTTTATACTATTTGAATGTTACTTGAATGCATTTTAATTTTTGGTATTTGTTAGTGTTGGTATGTTGATACATTTTAATTATATATTTTATCTTATTATAATTTTTAAAATTGATTTTTTTTAAATCAACGAAACCGTTCGGATCCGAATCCGAATAGTAAAATTGATTACCCGGCGAATCCGAATCTGGATATCTTGAAAAATTCGGATATCCAGCTCCGTTCCAATCCTATGATACAGTTATTTGAAAAATTTAAATAGTTTTAGGTAGTTAGTTAAGCATGTTTTATATTGTAGGCATTATACAATCCGCTATAGCTGTCAATTGGGCCGTCCACGCCCGTCCACGTCCGTCCACAATGTCCATTTAATTTAGTGGACATAACTGGACGGGTTGTAATGGACATTGGGCCAAAAAGTGTCCACGCCCAAATTGGACCATGTCCAAATGGTCTTTCCGTGGGTTGTCCATATTATTTTGTTGACTTTTTATTTGATATGTTGACTTTTGTTTTCTTACTAATAAATTTAATTCTTTTAATTTTTTAAATGTTTATTTGATCTTTTAACTACTACAAAATGATAATTCTATGTTTTTCTTAATTTACATGTTGAAAATATTTGAGTTTTTATTATAAAAAAAAATAAAATTTTAAAATATTGAATATACTAACACTACCAGAAAGATCCGGTTTTACGTCGGCAGATATCGACGTAAAATCGATGTAATAGGGCATTTACGTCGAATTAGCGATGAATGAAAAATTGTCGTAAAACAATCGTCGTAAAATAAAATTCGTCGTAAAATTGTAAAATTACCAACCCAGGAAAATCGTCGTAATATCGTCGGAAATTATTCGTCGTAAATTTTCCAACGAAAGTACAACGAAATATGTCCATCATAACAACGACGTAAAATCGATGTAAAATTACATCGATTTAACAACGATTAGGAGACGACCTATTTCAATTAAGGGAAATTAATTTTTTTAATGATTGATGTTAATTCGTCGTAAATGTTCGACGTAGATTCGACGTAAACATATTCGACGTAAATTCGTCGTAAACAATTTGACGTTAATTCGACGTAAAGTTATGACGAATTTACGTCGATTTAGAAATTAATTATTTAAATTCGATTTTAATTTAATTAATGAATTTTTAAAATAATCAAATAATTGAAAATAGATAAAAAAACATTTTAAATTAAAATTTAAATTCGAAATTAATTTATCAATAAAAGAAAAAAAACATTTTTTAATTGAAATGATGATGAAGACTAGTATTTATAGTGCAGCTTCCTTCTCAATTTTCGAAGTTTGTCGAATTGGGATAAACTTTTTGTCCATGGACGGACCAGTGTCCAACATGTCTAATCCATTTTGTTTATGGGCGAAATTGGACGAAGTCTAAATAGACCTGTTTAAAAATGAGCTTGTCCGTGACGGATCCAAAATGTATTGGACATGGACAGCCCATGGATCGCCCACCCATTTTGACACCCATGCAATCCGCTAATAATCCAATTCAAAAATTAAAATTGAATCCGAAACCGTTTGATCTAGTAGCGACAATGATAACGAATCTCCTTCGACTGTGATTTCGATTTCTTTCTTCTTCTTCCTTCACTTTTTCTCGATTCAAGTCTCATCTTGTATTTACCCTTTCTCGATTCAAAACTCAATGGCTCAATCTCACTAATTCAGCAAAGTGAAATGGGTATATAGTTTCGCACTTCTTGTGAAACCTCTGGTTTGATTCCGGTTTCGGAGCAGAGATTGATCCTCTCGTTAACTTCACAGGTAATTTCCTTCTAGGGTTTTTTTCCAATTCCATCTTTTCTTTCTAGAGCTTTCCTCTGTTCATGTGTTTTCTCTAGTTACGAATTCATTTGCTTGGCTTTCGCAGTTCTTGTGGAACTTCCGATTTACCTTCTGATATCGAGCCCTATCGTTAACTTCAAAGGTATTTTCTTTATAGGGTTTTAGTTCTGTTCATTTGCTTGGCTTTAGACGAAATCCTTTTGAGTCTTAGGTGTTGAGTTTTTGTCTTCTTTCTCAATTTCTCCTCAGGGAAGACAAGAATCCAAGTTTCTTAAGTATCTTGTCGACTCTGTATGATATGGTCAGACTCAGTGATTTGCCTGATGAGTTGCTGTTGACGATATTATCATTACTTCCAATAGAAGTTGCTGTATCCACTAGCGTCTTGTCTAAGCGATGGAAGTTCCTTTGGATGTCGTTGCCTAAACTTGAGTACAGTACTAGAAATCATCCAGACTCTGCAGCACTTGGGGAATTTATTTACAAGCATCTGTCATTACATAGAGCTCCGGCCATAGAAAGCTTGCGTCTCGACCTCAGTCCACATATTAATCCTGAAGATATAAAACGCTGGGTTAGGATTGCAGTTTCTCACAATGTACGTGAGCTGAATATTACTTATGATTCAGATAATGGAAACATATTCCCAGGCAGCTTTTACACCTGCAACTCGCTCGTGGTCTTGGAACTCGGATACGTGACTCTCATGGATGTTCCCTCAAGTGTTTGTCTTCCCTCTCTGAAAACCATGGAGCTTGAATGTCTTGTATACGCTAATCAAGAATCTCTTCAACGGCTTCTATCTATATGTCCTGTTCTTGAAGAACTATCGGTGCGTCTTGGTGGTGCTGGTGATATAAATATGAGAAAGTTCAGTATCGTCGTCCCGTCTTTGCGGAGTTTATCACTCTTAATGTTTGATTTGTGGTGGTTAAATGCGTATGTGATAGATACTCCTTCTTTAGAGTATTTCAAACTTGGCGATAGGATTAATATGGAACACTACTCTGAGTTTAATATGCCAAAGTTGAGGGAAGCATATGTTGATGCTCCTTTCCTTGATCTCAATGGGCTTATTACATCAATCACATCTGTTAAGCGTCTTACTTTATGCTCAGTGGTAAGCATTTCTTGTTTTATCAGCAAGTCTTCAATCTCATTTGTGGAATCCTCGTTTAAATTTTTTTTTTTTTTTTTTTGGTAAATGGTGGGCAGCATGAGTATGGTGAAGGTTTTGTCCTCAAGCACCTTGAACATCTGAAGCTATGTGAGTGCAAAAATGATTCGTTGGATAACCTTGGCGAATTGCTCAAAGGTTCTCCAACTTTACGAGTGTTAGACATCTGTGTATTGAAAGTAAGTTTCTTCGTTAAACTATGTTTTGTTTTGTCTGATGTGGAGTACGGTTTAGTTCTCATATGTTCTTCTTGGTCTCAGGATCATGACAATCATGGGCTTGATGAGTATAGCGGTTTCTGGAATCAACCGAGTCGTGTTCCTGAATGCCTCTTGTCGAGTCTACAAATCCTCAACTGGTCAAGATACTTTGGGAGACCACATGATAGAAAGATTGCGGTTTACATCTTGAGAAACGCTTGTCGCTTAAAGACGGCAACATTCTTTGCTGATAGAGGGTATTATGTGTCAAATCTTGAGATGATCAAGGAGTTGACACTTTCTTCCCGAGCTTCAAGCACATGCGAACTGGTGTTTGTTGAGGATGATAGAGAATCTGAATCAGAATCAGAATCTGAATCTGAATCTGAATCTGAATCTGAATCTGAATGATGGTATAGATTCACCAGGGAAAGTGTTTGAAGGAGAAAAGCAGTAGATTCCGCAAAAAAATGTTAAGACTTGGTCGTATATATTGTTGTATGGAAACCCCAATTGTTAGAAAAAGCAGATTTGAAGACGTTCAAAAAAACAAAAAAAAAACAGATTTGTTTGTAAATATTGTGCTTGTTGTTCGTCAGCAAAAGTTTGAAGATGTTGATACTCAAATGTAAATGCTTTAAGCTTCTAATAGAGTTGATTAGGACTGGTTTTGCTTAATCCTTTGTTAAAAATCAAACTTATTACAATAGTACAAGATAATGTTTGTTATAAAGTTATCCGAAAATGAAAAGAACTTCGGAAAATGTTTAGCTCTTCTCAATAGGCAAAGAGGATTAGTAAATATATTAAACAATTTCAGAACTTGTTGTACTGATAATCTGATATGTACAAAAATTAACAAAATTTTTGGTTTTTCGTTTGGTTCGATTCCGTTTCGATACAGTCGATGAGTTTGCTCTCTGACAATTAAAACCTAGATGCCTGACCAATTAAAACATTGTGAGACATCATTTTTCATACCAAAATTCTTTATAAATAAAATACATGAAATACTATTTTTTTTTCTTTTCTGAACTATATAAGATTTATTCAGTTATATCCTCAAATAAATATGCATATATTTCAGAATTTACATATTTTTGTTCGTATAGATTCTTTTTTTTAGTTAAAGGGCTTACTTGAATATAAAGAATGTTAAGAAATTACAAAACAGAAAATGAACCAGAACCAAAACTATACATACTAGCCGGCCAGCCAAAAAAAGAGAATATCAAAAAGGAGAAGAAATAGTCTATCACAACCATTTCAACTGTCAATCACCTACAACCAGGGAACCAGGGGTAATAGATTGCTGCGGAGATGGGGATAGCGACCAAATTTGGAAGAGAGAAGGACCATGCTTTGACCCCTTTAAGACCAGAGCCTGTGCTTTGTTTCTAACCACCGTGAGGATCCTTAAAAGAACCTGTCGAGGAGCAAGAGATAGTCCTTGATGAACCCTGCAATTTCTTTCCAACCATATCTCATAAATTGTCGCCTGCCATCCCTGTTTCAGAGCAAGAGAGGGCTTTTGGAGAAGCCACAGTACCAATCCATACGAGAGAAGGGGACCAAGTGGTCGGCACCATGTTGAGATGAAGATATGAAGTTACCAGATTCCAAATTTCAGCAGAGAAGGAACACTCGAAGAAGAGGTGATCCCTAGACTCGTCCTGTAAACCACACAGCAGACAAGTAGTATCAACATCAAGCCCCCAAGAAAATAATCTGTCCACAGTGGGGTTTCTATTCAGGGAGAAGAGCCAAGTGGTAATAGCATGTTTCGGAATTGCGGCCTTGTGCCAAACTGAGGAAAACCATGCGACCTCCTGATTCTGAGGTCTAATACTGTTCCACACTCTTTTGGATGAGAAGCTGATCTGAGCTTTCCCATCAATTTTCCAAACCGCTCGATCACTACTCGATGAGGGAGAGATCTGGGAAATGTAGGCATATAAATCCATCTGAGATTCCATTTTTGCCGGCGGGAGGTTCCAACCTTCCGAGGTAATGAGATCTGATACAAGAGCATCAATTGGGACACCAAGGCGAGAAGGTCCATTGGGACCCAGGTAGACAATTAATGAACCGAAAAGCGTCAAGGGATCACACCAAAAGAACGAGTCCTCTCCATTCCCAATAACTATACTGAGGAATGACAATGCTTTCTTTCTCAACCGCAGAAGCTTTCTAAACATCCATGAAAACTGTTGACTCTTCTCATTCAGAGACCAGAAACTAGCACTGGAGAGGTTGAAGATGTTAGAAAAAGCAGATTTGTTCGTCTAGATTGTTGTATGGAAATCCCAATTGTTAGAAAAAGCAGATTTGTTTGTAAATATTGTGCTTGTTGTTCGTAAGTAAAAGTTTAAGATGTTGATACTCAAATGTAAATGCTTTAAGCTTCTAATAGAGTTGAGAGCATCTCCAACCCTGCTCCATTTTTTGCTGCAAACTCCATTTTGGAGTAAATTTCACTCTAACCCTACTCCATTTTTTACTGCAAAATGGAGAAAAAGTAGAGATTGCTCCATATTTGGAGTAAACCTTTATTCTACTCCATTTTGCAGCTATATTTTTTTTATTTACAATCTGATCTTTAAAATATTAAATCATTATAATTTTATACTTTTTATCAACACAGCATTATTTTCGACATTATATATGGCTATATGCATTTTTTTCAGATATACACTTAATATTTGTATGACACATATCACTTTGACTTATATATATATATATATATAATTAAAAAATGGTCTCTATGTATGTATATATATATATATATATAACTATCGGTTTAATAATTAAGTTTTATTTTATGATTCATGTTTATAAGATTTTTTGACAAGATTATAGGACTTTAATAGTTTAAAAAAATATAAAATAGACAATCATAAATATTTGAGCACTAAAATTTTTATTTCAAAATATTACAACTTAAAATAAACTGAAAAATACACAACAAGTGCTAAAATCAAAGATAAACATAAAAGTTTAACACAACAAATACAAACAATTTAATATTCTGCTAAATCGATTCCTGATCCACCGATATCATTAAAATATTGTCCAAACGAAGTTGATGGAGGAGGAAATTCTTGATTTTGTTGTTGAGCATTCCGCTTTTGTAAAATTTTTGTTTGTTTGCCTTGAACACATGCACGAATATTTGGATCTGATATGGAACTCATGTCATAAAATAACATTTTGTTTTCCATTTTCAGCTCTTTCAAAGCATAGTTTTTCTGTTGAATCTCCAGATAATCTTGTCTTTGTGCACTTTTCTTCTTTAATTGCTCTAAAAGTTGTTTATTTCCTTCTTCTAAGGTGTTGATAACTGATGTTGTTTGATCAACAAGTTTTCTTTTATTTTTGGATTTCTTGATCCCCATTGGTCGTGGAGAGGGAGATCTGCTAGTAAGCTCGTCGGTATCATCTAATTTTAAAGAAAATGAAGACAAACCTGGAGATGCTTGTGTAGGAGAATCAATGGAATTTCCAGACTCGAACGATGTATACTCGGCACGAGGTGGGATTAATATGCGTTTAGGATCAGCACCATCTTTAAACTTTTCAAAGTTTTTAATAATATTTCAAACATGTTCAAATTTCCAACCTGTTTTGAACTTTGAATCTTCTTGTAGCATTAGTTTGGCTTGACTGAATTGCATATCAATAAAAAACAAAAATGTTACTATTCAAAAAGTAGGAATACAATTCCTCTACAAATCAAAAATAAAACATAGCTTTAAATTTCTTATGTTTTTATGATTTTATGTAATTTTTTATTTAATAAATATTTTAATTTTATTAAATTCGTAAATTATAAATATTTTAGATAAAATAAAAATAAATAGGTTATTTTGTAACTTCTAAAAGTTAAAGGTTATTAAAGTAAAAGAAAAATAGAATCTATTAGGATATTCTTTTTTGGAGTAAAAAATGGAGTCATACATTGGAGCAAAATACAACTCTATTTTGGAGTTACTCCAATTTGGAGTAAAAAATGGAGATTTACATTGGAGATGGTCTGATTAGGACTGGTTTTGCTTCCTTTGTTAAAAATCAAACTTACTAGGTTTGTACCCGTGCATACGCACAGGTTTTTGTTTGATAATTTTTTAAAATATATATTTATATTGATATATATACATAATTAATTATAAGAATATGATAATTTGTTTGATTGTTTGATATTAGTTTTTTAAAGATAAAATCTTTATTAAACAAATAATTTTTTTTTAAGATTATAAATAGGATAAGTAGGAAAATTATTCTACCATTTTAGAAATCATAAACATAATATGAGTAAAAAACATAGATAAAAGCCACATTTTTTTGGATTGAATTGCTTGAAAACATATAAGATTTAGGCTCTGATGAGCTTAGAAATAACCTGCAAAATAATGGATTGTGTTTTTAAACACGATTCCGCAGGTTTCTCGCAACTTCTTCAAACTGACTTAACATATTTCTAGAGCAAGTCCCAAGATCATAAAATCAAATTTAATTTATTTTTTTCTTTTAGTGAGATTGAATTTTTCTAGCAGAACATCGAGACTAAAAAAAATGAAAACAACATTTTTAAAACCTAAATTTATATATTTTTCAGATGAAAAAGTTGAAAAGACAAAGAAGATGAAAATATATGATTGAAAAATAGATGTTTCTTAAAAAAAAGGACTGATGCAGTTTTTTTTTAAAAATTTACTCTTTAAATTGAAAATTGAAATAAATGCCATTAAATTTATTTTTAAAATTGACACTTGTTGGCTTTTAGAGTGCTGATGTGGCGAGTTGTGGGAAAGAGTAACAGATTCACCGTTTCTGCTAACACTGGAAAATGGTGACGTGGCTAATGGATACGTAGACCAAACAGCTGATGATTTCATAAAGAAGTTTTATATAAGAACTTGAATCAGCAGAAAAAAAATGATTGAGTTCAGCTAATGATAATCTGACCGTCAGTGTGTTTCTTCATGTTTCTCTTCTTCCATAAATATTTTTTTTAGTCTGTTTTCTTTTCTTCTCCTTTTTGCTGATTAAATTCGTCAAATATATGAGATTTTGTTAACCTTATCAGTTAGTCAATTTTTTGATTAAAAAACATGTAAAACGTAAAGTTCATAGTTGTAGATATTGTTGGTTTTTAGATCAAAAGTTCATTGTTATTTTCAAATATTTATTTATTATAGGAATTATTGTAGATATTGCTGTTTTGTAAATATTTATTATCTTTTTTTGGAGGAGTGGAGTTTATTTTGCTATTAATAGAAAAACATACCAAAAAACATAAGAAAGGAAGATGAAGTGAAGACATATAAGATGGAACAGGTGTCCTCCTTATGAATGCTGACGTGGTGCAAAGATGGAGAGAGATCACCTTAAATCATATATATATATATTAATAATAAAGTTATCCGAAATTGGTAAGAACTTTGAAAAATGTTCAGCTCTTCTCAATATGCAAAGAGAAATAGTGAACTATATTTTAAAAAATCAGAACCGGTTGTACTGATAATCTGTTATGTACAAAAATTAACAAAATTTTTGGTTTTTTCGTTTGGTTTGATTCGGTTTCCAAACCAAATATAGTCGATAAGTTTCCAAACCAAATATAGTCGATAGGTTTTTTTCTGGCCAACAACATTGTCTCCCATACCCCGACAAACTTGGCGTCTGACCAATTAAAGCACACATGTTTTGTTAGACAGCATTTTTCATACCAAAATTCTTAATAAATAACATACATGAAATATTATTTTTTTCTTTTCTAAACTATATAAGATTTATTCAGTTATATCCACAAATAAATATGCATATATTTCAGAATTTACATATTTTTCAATAAAATGAAACATGCATAATATAAAAAACATAGGATCATTTTAGTCAGTACCAAAAGTTGACCACTAAATACATTATATACCAAAAGAGAGTTTAATATTAGGTCCCCTATACCACATTAGCAAATCATTCCCTTTCTACCCCTAGTTCTCTCTAACTCATTTACAAGTAGAACCTGCCAAAAAAAAAAATTTAGGCAGGTGAATAAAGTATGCTTTTCAATTAATGATACTCTTTTTAACGAATAGGGTAAGGTGAATAAAATATGTTTTTCAATTAAAAAAAACACCTAAATATATAACATAAATAAATGATCTAGTTTGACTAGGATCATCTTTTTGAAACTAAAGTTGAGATAATGGAGTAAGAGAGGTACTCGAGTACACTCCTCTTATATTAAAGAACTATGGGCTATGTCATTGGAAAGAGAAACATATAGATATAGTAAAGGACCATTTTGTTGGTACCAAAAATTGACCACCAAATGCATTGAATACCAAAAGAAATATTAATATTAGGTCCCTTATGCCACATCAGCAAATCATTCCCTTTCTATCTCTAGTTCTCTCTGACTAAATTACAAGTAGAACCTGCCAAAAAAACAATTTAGCCGACAGTTGCCTGAATAATGACACATGTCGCCTGCCATAAGACATAGTGTATCCAAATATTATGTGGTGATGACGACATAACGGTCCATGTATTATCGTCAATGTCTGCTAACTTTACTGTATCTATATCCGATAACTATATATGAGTATTATTGTTTGTCCGTATTTTTTTTTTTTTTTTTTGAATCTAATGTTAAATTATATTCAAAGAAAAAAATAAACTTTTTTACAACTTGATTTGGAAGAGCTCATATAGAGGTTCCCTTTATCTTTAACTACTTGAAAAAAACTAGAAAAAATTTGTCTCTCTCTCTTAGGCTATCTGGTCGCAAACCAGAGCTGCAGCCCATTCTCGTGCTTCTTGTCTCCATTACGCCGGATTGAGCAAAGGTTGTTTCGGATATTCTTATCCAGCATCCTCACCAATTGTTGCGCCGATAAAGGTTGTTGCCCATATCGCCGATTGTTTCGTTCCCACCATATGGAATGAATCACGGCTTGAAAGGAGTAACGAACAAGATACATTTGTGTACGGTCATGGCAGTGTTGCGTGATCAGGTCAACAACCGCATCCCATGTGTAGACAAAACGTATCCCCAGCAGACCCTTTACCATAGAATCCCACACTGTTCTTGTAAATGGACAAGCGAAGAAAAGATGTTTCCTTGTCTCCATTGGACAATTGCAGAAGACACAGCACGAGTTTGCGCCTCCATTCCAGGCCTTTACTCTCTCCCCCGTCGCAAGCCTGTTGTGGAGGGCTAACCAAGCTATGAAGGAGAACTTTGGAGACGCTTGAGGAAATCAGATCCCTCGGTGCCTCTGAACTTGTGGACGCGGCGTACGAAGCTGAATCCAGGTCTGGCGGGACGAAAAAGTCGTCGTGTAGTGGTCCGCTCTGCATTTCCAAAGAGCGACATCTTCCTCACTCTGGTTTCCAGCCAGCCTGAGCTTCTCGATCTCCATTTCAATTTCATTGAGGACTGCTTGACGGTGACTTCTTCTCCTTCGCCGATTCATTACCATACTCACAGTCACATGTTGGTTAATACCCATGTCTAAAAAACCCCTCTCACCGACTCTGTCAATCAAACGACCCATCCCACACCAGTGATCGTACCAAAACGAAGTTGTATTACCATTTCTCACCTCCATCTTATGAAAAAGCTTTGCCAGCTCTCTGTATTTAATAATTTTCTTCCACATCCATGAACCCAGAGTTGTTGTGTCCTTAATCACCCAGAAAGACCCATTTCGAATAAGCTGACGTTGAACCCAGTTTACCCAAAGAGAGTCCTTCCCAGACAAAATTCGCCATACCAGTTTCAGACAGCTAACCCTGTTTGCTTCTTCCAACGATTTGAGACCCAAACCTCCCTCTTCTTTGGGAATGCATATATCCTTCCAAGCTATTTTGGCTTTTCTCGCGTTTAAAGCAGGGCCAGACCAGAGAAAAGCCGAACAGAGCTTACCAATTTCTGCAACACAAGCTTTAGAAAGTCTAAAAGCCGATATCCAGAAGTTGGTGATACTAAAAATCACCGATCTTACCAACTGTAGACGTCCTGCAAAAGAAAGCGCCCGAGCTGTCCACGAAGAGATTCGGTTCCGAATGTTTTCAATGAGCGGCAAGTAATCCGCAGGTTTCATTTTCTTTGTTAGCAAAGGCAATCCAAGATATCTTACCGGAAGATCTCCGTCTGCGAATGGGAACTGGGCTAAGATCTCTGCTTGCGATGATTCTGGAATTCCAGCCATGTAAAGAGTGGATTTTTCTAAACTGATCTTAAGCCCAGTTCGAGTTGCAAACTCGTCAAAAACTTTCAGCACTCCTTCTATCGATCGTTTCTCTCCTCTGACAAAGACCAGCAAGTCGTCGGCAAAACATAAATGGGTGAGGTTTATGTTTTTACAATTCAGGTGGTAACTGATCATTTTTCCTTCGCAGCTTTATCGATTTGTTTTGATAGCACGTTCATGCAAATAACAAATAGATATGGCGAGAGAGAACATCCTTGCCGCAACCCTCTTGTACTTCCAAAATACCCAGCTAACTCTCCATTGACCTGAACCGAAAAAGAAGCAGATGAGATACAAAGGTTGATCCAGTGTATAAACTCATCTGGAAACTCCATCGCCTTAAGAGTATTCAATAGAAAGGTCCATTGCACAGAATCAAAAGCCTTCGAGATGTCAATCTTCATTGCACATCTTGGGGATATGGTATCCTTGTGGTAATCTTTCACCAGATCAGTAGCTAGCAAGACATTTTCCATCAACAATCTGTTTTTGACAAAAGCAGACTGATTTGCAGAGATGAACTTGGGAAGGATCTCTTTGAGATGATTAGCTAGGATTTTTGAGATGGCCTTATAGAGGACATTGCAACAAGAGATGGGTCTATAATCTTTCATTTCCAAAGCTTCCTTCTTCTTTGGGATAAGGGCCAAAATAGTAGAGTTGACTCCTTTTGGCAAAAATCCAAATTTGAAAAAAGACTGAGTCGCTTTTACCACATCATCACCTACGACTGACCAAGAGTCTCTAAAAAATTCGCTGGTAAAACCATCTGGACCAGGTGACTTATTACCAGGCATTGAGAACAAGGTTGTACAAATCTCATCGGTCGTAACTTCCTTGGTGAGAGACTGAGAATCCTCCTCATTACAGCGAAAGTCCAACAGACCTCTCAAATCCTCTAAGGACCAAGCTTCGAAATCATCTGGGGTGGCTGTTAGAAACTCCTGAAAGTATCGGATTGCCTCCTGCTTGATACCTTCTTGATCAGCGACCGAGTTACCATCTCCTCGCTTTATCTCACTAATACTATTCCTCATTTCCCTGTTTTTTGCTGCATTGTGGAAGGTTTTATTGTTTTATCTCCGATTTTCAACTAATGTAATTTGGCTTTTTGACAAAGGAACTTCTCCTCAATGTCCGCCAGTCTATTCCATGACGCTAAAGCAGTTACTTCCTCATCGACTGCCGTAGAAGTTGGATTAAGCATCGTCTTGCTCTGCAACTCACATAACAGAGTATACGCAGCTTTAGTCCTCTTGGAAATATCAGCTAACAGATCTCTTCCCATCTTTCTCATATAGGGTTTCATCAGCTTGAGCTTCTTCGTCATTCTATACGTCGCAGATGTCGAGTGATACAGGGGAGAGGTAGAGTCCCATAGCTCTTTCACAACCTTCAAAAAATCCGGGTGGGACGCGATAGCATTGGAGTATTTAAACGGCTTTGTAATTCTTCCACTAGGCTCCTTAATGTAGAATCTGCAGCGAAGATGGTCAGAACATCCTCCCGGCTCGAATACGCTATATGATCGATCATACTTGGAGCACCACTCCTGATTCACCAAAATACGGTCAAGCTTCTTGCAGATTAAACCTTCTCTTCGTTTATTACACCAAGTGTATAACGGCCCTTGATGCGTTAAATCAATAAGCTCGCAGTGGTTCACCATCTCCTGAAAATCCCTAATTCCCAGCGGAATAGAAGGCGAGACATCGTATAAGGAATGCTCCTCAGCCTTTAGTATTTCATTAAAATCCCCACTGATCATCCAAGCTTTTCCACGAAACAACAGAGAGTCCCTGTGGGCCCTCAAGTCCTCCCAAAGCTTCTTCCTGTCTTCACTAAAATTAGAGGCATAGACGAAAGTGACAAAAACTCCTCATTCTGCCCATCAATCATCACCAAAGCTGTAATCATCTGCGAAGATTTATACACTGGTGTGACTCTAGTACTTGTACTCCAAACAAACCATAATCTCCCTAACCTATGCTCCTCGTAATTCGATAAAAGCGACCAGCCTTTGAAGCACTTCGAGAAGATGCTGTCTGCTTTGCCCTCTTTTACCTTCGTTTCAAGTAAGCACCCGAAATCAAAATTTCCTCTCTGGATCCAGTCTCTTATCACCACATGTTTGCTTTTCTTATTGAGACCTCGGATATTCCAGAAGAAACCCGACATTAACAATTTTTTGAAGAATTACGGGATCCTCGAGCACTAGGATTAACCTCCTTTGCGTTTGCGGTGCTGGAATTGGAGATGAACTTATGAGAATTCTTTGAGGACCGTGGTAGCGGCAATCGCAGCACACCTCCCCCAGAATCCTTTGGACCTCGTTTAGTGGCCTGACCCACTTCAGGAATGGTAGGCGCAGCTCGTTCTGTTTCAACTTCGAGCTTCTGCTCTGGTTTCGCCACATGACCGATCTCCTCCATAGAACTTATGTCCTCCCCTTGAGTAATAAGTTCCCCAATTTCTTCTCCGTTATCACCTTTGTTGCTTAGGATTTCAAAGCGTGAGTTAGACAGAATTGACACTTCACCAAATTTCAATTCTGCCTTCTTTACCGGGCTTTTACTTGGTTTAGAAGGAGTAATCCATCCCATCGCATCATCTGTTTGTTTAGGGTTCTCTGTTTCCCTGTTTTGTGATCCCGAAGTACCAGTTACTGTTCCACAACCCAGTTCCTTCGACACTGGAAAGTTTACTTTGTCTTGTGACACAACCTCCACATACGTATCTTTGTGTTCAGCCCTTACAACACCGTCCTGTTTGCGTGAAACGCATTCCTTGCTCAAGTGTCCCCATTTGTTACATCCTTCACAAAACGGAGGTAGCCATGGGAAAACATAATCTACCACAAAGTCAGGTCCAGTCTCCGACTTGAACCGAAAACATGTTGGCAAAGCTTTTGTTAAATTGACCTCAACAAAAACTTTAGCCTCTTCTAGATTTTTGCAGGCCTCAGTGTCTGGGTGAAGCTTCTTCGGGGTACCCAGAGGACTTGTTAAAGCACTTAGACCCAACCATGAGTATAGGTGTGGCGGGACTTTCTTAACAACAACCCACAAAGGGATTGATGTCATCTCAGGTTGTTCCTTTTCTGCAATGGGACTCCATTTAGTCACCACCATAGGGACATCACAGAGATTCCACATTCCCCTGCGCAAGACTCTCGCTTTAACGTTTTGATCCTTGATTCGAAATCGAACTGTGGTGCTATCCACAACGTACACATCAATCTTCACCGTTTTGTCACCCCAAGTCCAGATACGGTTCACCAGCGCATGAATTTTACCAACAAAAGGAGCTGTTGATAGAAACTTGCCCACTAAGAAATCAGCCCAAAGAGGAGAGTCCTTGAGGGCATTGCCTGGTAGTGTAGTCGTCGGAATACCATCGATCTCTTCTACCGTCAGATCATAGTGCACCATCTCCGTCCTGGTTCTAACCACCGACGCCCAAGATACCGTTTTCACTTCTGTTTTGTCCACCTTAGGGTTTTTGTCTCCTAAAACCATCTCGCCATCGAACGTGTTTTTTAGGTCTACTGCACTCCCAACCGTGATTTCCCCCTCTTCAGGTTCCTCCGACAAAGCAACCTCTGAGACCTTTGCACCCTTCTCCACGGTCACCTCACCAGAGTCTTTCTTTTCCAAATTCAAATTTTTCTCCCACCCCCTTTCCAACCCCCCCCCCCCCCCCCCGCACTCACGATCACCTCCTCCGTCGTGTCCCCCTGCTCTGAAGGACCCATCTCCATCGACATGGGCACCTGCGGCGGCCGCCGGAACCCTACCGTAAAGGAGAAGGTCAAGATTCGAAATCGCCTTTTGGATCGCCCTAGGATGCCACGTCAGCCCTTCGTTTGTCCGTATTATGCTAACAATAATATGTAATACAAGCTAACATGTTAATAATTCTTATTGTTACATGATATATGTTAACAATAATATATGTTAACAGCTCTACTTGTTTAACAATAATATCTAAATATTGTAACATGTTAACATAGTAAGGTAAAATATACGATAGTTGTTAACGCATTAACAAAAATATCAGATATTTATTAAGATGATAACAATAATAGATAGTGTTTGTGGACGTATTATCTGATATTTACTAACATGATTATAATAATAACAAGTATTATCCAAACGTTATAAGTACAATATTATTGTTAATATGTTAACATACTAGTTACCACATTATAAGTATTACATATGGTTAACAAGTTAACAAGTAGAGGTGCTAACAAGGATATCGCTTTCAAAATTTAGAGTGAAAATCAGATATAGGAGATTTCCCCTAATAAATAGTTTTACTCAATATATATACAATTTCTCTCTCTATTAATCTGTCGTTTTCTCTTTTATCTTATGTGTTTTGGAAACTGCAAACAGTTGTATATGAAAGAGACAAGAAAATTTCATGACACCTTTTTGAGAATCTGGACCTACACCATGAGAGAGAAACCATATGAAGAGATAAATGGAATAGGGGTTTTAAGGGAATTTCTCAATCAAAAACATCAACTGAATAGTGTTTTGCAGATAGAGTTAATTTCCATATTATCTTTTAGTATATAGTCATAATACTTAATAAAAAAGTTTACTTTTTATATTTGTGCATAACCGAGATCAGTGAATTTGATAATAATTGATACACATATATATATACATAATTTTTTTGTTTTGATCAAATGTATGCTATTCTTTAATTGCCACTCGAAATCTGTGGGAAACAACTAAAAAAATCTAGTTACCACATAAACCAAAAAAAAAAGAACTCCAAATGATGCTCTTTTTAAGGAATAAGGTAAGGTGAATAAAGTATCCTTTTCAATTACAAAGAAAACACCTAAATATATAACATAAATAAATGATCTAGTTCGACTATGATCATCTTTTTGAAATTAGAGTTGGGATAAGTAAATAGTGGAGTCAGAGAGGTACTCGAGTACAGTTCACTTATATTAAAGAACTATGGGCTATGTTCTTGGAAAGGGAAACATATAGATATAGTAAAGGATCATTTTGTTAGTACCAAAAGTTGACCGCTAAATGCATTATATACCAAAAGAAAGTTTAATATTAGGTCCTTTATGCCACATCAGCAAATTATTCCCTTTCTACCCCTAGTTCTCTCTGACTCAATTACAAGTAGAACCTGTAGAAAAAAAAAAGGATCTAGCCGACAGTTGCCTGAATAATGACACATATTGCCTGCCATAAGATATAGTGTATCCAAGTATTATGTGGTGATGACGACATAACGGTCCCTGTATTATCATTAATGTCTGCTAACTTTACTGTATCTATAACCGATACCTACATATGAGTGTTATTGTTTATCCGTATTATGCTAACAATAATATGTAATACAAGCTAACATGTTTACAATGCTTATTGTTGCATGTTATTAATGATATATGTTAACAATATATATGTTAATAGCTCTACTTGCTAATAATAATATCTAAATATTGTAACATGTTAACATAGTATGTTAAAATATATGATAGTTGTTAACGTGTTAACAAATATATCAGATATTTATTAAGATGTTAACAATAATAGATAGTATTTGTGGACGTATTACCTGATATTTAGTAACATGATTATAATAATAACAAGTATTATCCAAACGTTATAAGTATAATATTATTGTTAATATGTTAACATACTAGTTAACACATTATAAGTATTACATATTGTTAACAAGTTAACAAGTAGAGATGCTAACAAGGATATCACTTTCGAAATTTAGAGTGAAAATATGTTATAGGCGATTTCCCCTAGGAAATAGTTTCACTCAATAAATATACAATTTCTCTCTCTTTTAATCTGTCGTTTTCTCTTTTATCTTATGTGTTTTGGAAACTGCAAACAGTTGCATATGAGAAAGACAAGAAAATTTCATGACATCTTTTTAAGAATCTGGACCCACACCATGAGAGAGAAAGCATATGAAGAGATAAATGGAATAGGGGTTTTAAGGGAATTTCTAAATCAAAAACATCAACTGAATAGTGTTTTACAATTAAAGTTAATTTTCATATTATATTTTGGTATATAGTCACAATGCTCAAGAAAATAGTACACTTTATATATTTTTGCATAACCGAGATCAGTGAATATGATAATAATTGATACACATATACATAAATTTTTTTATTTTGATCAAATGTATGCTATTCCTTAATAGCCACTCGAAATCTGTGGAAAACAACTAAAAAAATCTGGTGACCACATAAACAAAACAAAAAAAAGAACTCCAAATGATGTTCTTTTTAAGGAATAGGGTAAAGTGAATATAGTATGCTTTTTAATTTAAAAAAAAAACACATAAATATATAACATAAATAAATGATGTAGTTTGACTAGGATCATCTTTTTGAAACTAGAGTTGGGATAAGTAAATAGTTGAGTTAGAGAGGTACTCGAGTACACTCCTCTTATATTAAAGAACTATGGGCTATCTTCTAGGAAAGGGAAACATATAGATATTGTAAAGAGTCGCTTACAATTTATATCACTTTGTTTCTTTCAACTACACATAATATCACTTTCTGCTATTATTGAGCTTTTACATGGGCTAAATTACAATTTTATCCTTCTTTTACTCTTTGTTATTTTTGGGCTAAAAATAAATCAAATTAAAAATAAAAAGTCACACTCTCTCTCTCTTGTCTCCCTTACGACATTTTTTTTTCTTTTTCTTTTCTCTTTCCTCTCTTTTTCTCACACTTATTTTCTCTATATTTTATTTAATTTATTTTCTTATTTTAAAAAAAATAATTTCATAGTTATTTTTACACTATCAGTTATATCTCTTTTATATCTTTATTTTGAGTACCATTTTTCAATAGTTTACTTATATGTAATACGTATAATTAGATAAAACGTACATACAGTTATATAGTTGTGTCCACGTGGATACGTACATGTATCCATATTTAGACGTATCCACGAACATGTAGTCCATGTGGACGAAGTTACATGGATATATAAATGTATTCACGCACATATGGTACAAGTGGATGCAATTACATGAACATATATACTGTTCCGCGGTAATATGATATACATGTACACTACATATATATGTGTATTTTTATATAATATATATATAAATTATATAATTATGTAAACTATTATAAAATAAGTATCAAAATATAAACATAAAATAAATATAACTGATAGTGTGAAAATAATTGCAAAATTATTTTTTATAAAAAGAAAATAAACAAAATCAAATATGAGAAATATAAGTTTGAGGAAAGAGAGGAAATAAAAAAAATAAAGAAATAAAATATATTGTAGTCGTAGAGAAAGAAAGACAAGAGAAAAAGTGTGACTTTTTATTTTTATTTGTAATTATGTGTAATTGACAAGGATAGAATTGTAATTTAGCTAATCTAAAAGCTGAATAAGTGTTATAGTAGCAGAAAGTGATATTTTGTGTAAACTAAACTCAGAAAGAGATACTAAGTGTAAATTTCTCTATAGTAAAGGATCATTTTGTCTGTACCAAAAGTTGACCATTAAATGTATTGTATACCAAAAGAAAGTTTAATATTAGGTCTCTTATGCCATATCAGCAAATCATTCCCTTTCTACCTCTAGTTCTCTCTGACTCAATTACGAGTAGAACCTGCAAAAAACAAAGGATTTAGCCGACAGTTGTCTGAATAATGACACATGTCGCCTGCCATAAGATATAGTGGATTCAAGTATTATGTGGTGATGATGACATAACGGTCCATGTATTATCGTCAAAGTCTGCTAATTTTACTGTATCAATATCTGATAACTACATATAAGTGTTATTGTTTGTCAGTATTATACTAACAATAGTATGTAATACAAGCTAACATGTTAACAATGCTTATTGTTACATGGTTAACATATATCTACTTGTTAACAATAATATATGTTAACAGCTCTATTGTTAACAATAATATCTAAATATTATAACATGTTAACATAGTATGTTATTATGGTGCAATAAAATATATGATAGTTGTTAACGTGTTAACAAAAGTATCAGATATTTATTAAGATGATAACAATAATTAATATATAGTGTTTGTGGACGTATTATCTGATATTTACTAACATGACAACAATAATAACAAGTATTATCCAAACATTATAAGTACAATATTATTGTTAATATGTTAACATACTAGTTAACACCTTATAAGTATTACATATTGTTAAGAAGTAGAGATGCTAACAAGGATATCGCTTTCAAAATTTAGAGTGAAAATCAGTTATAGGAGATTTCCCATAATAAATAGTTTTATTCAATATATATACAATTTCTCTCTCTATTAATCTATCGTTTTCTCTTTTATCTTATGTGTTTTGGAAACTGCAAATAGTTGTGTATGAAAGAGACAAGAAAATTTCATGATACCTTTTTGAGAATCTGAACCTACACCATGAGAGAGAAATCATATGAAGAGATAAATGGAATAAGGGTTTTAAGGGAATTTTTCAATTAAAAACATCAACTGAATAGTGTTTTGCAGCTTGAGTTAATTTTCATATTATCTTTTGGTATATAGTCATAATACTCTAAAAAAATATCAATAACGTTATTTCATGTGGTCATTTTAACTCCAAAAGTTTTTAGGGTGAAAAAGATTTTTGTTTTTTATTTGCCAGAAAAATCCTTAATATTTTATCTATATACTTATTTGTGTAGTGATTTACTTATGTGTCGTGCCCACAGCGAGTTTCACCGTTTTTTGCTTACGTGTCAGCTCCAGAATCAATTTCGACCGCAAAAAGACCGTTTAGCCATATTTTCCAATTACGTGTTATATTTTTATTGGTTCTTATCTGGTGACGTGTAAAAAACTTAAAAAAATCGGTCTAAATTTTTATGGTTAAATACTTAATTTCGCTGTCAAATCAAATCGTTTTTAAAATTATATTAAACCGAAATTTATAAAAAAAATAAACAAAAACGTTTTTAAAAAATAACACAAAAAACTACAAATTTACCTTGTCATATGTTCTCGAAATTTAAAAAACAAAATATACAAACTACAAACTACAAAAAATGTATATACAAACAAATCGAAAATATTGCTCATAATACAAACTACAAAAAACGTTAAATTACTAATATACGTTATATAGATAATTTTTTAAGGAAAATTATGTTTATCTTTTAAAAAGTAAAAAGGAAAATCTACAATAATCGTCATAAGTTAAAACCTAAATGCAATCTATATATAAAATCATGACTAATTTTAAATTATTATAGTTTAATTTTTAATTTCATAGTCAAAATTTCGGCTGTAAAAAGACCATTTAGCCTTATTTTGCAATTATGTGTCATTTTTTCATTGGTTCTTATCTCATGATATGTACAAAAAAACTTAAAACAAACCGGTCTAAATTAATATGGTTTAATGTTTAATTTTATAGTCAATTAAACCGCTTTTAAAATTATATATAACCAAAATATTTGAAAAAAAAAACAAAATAACAAAAAAAAATTTAAGTGAAATTTATATCTCTTAGTGATTACCATTTCTTATGTTTCCAAAATTTAAAAAAAATCTAACAAAAATTTAAAAAGAAACAAAAAATAGAAACTATTTAAAAAGCAATGTAATGTCGTTTCAAAACATAAAAAAAAAAACTGAAATTTCAAAAAAAAACTCTAACAAAAAAAATAAAAAATATATATGACAGTATTTGTGATGTTTAAAACATATAAAACAGTGATTAAAATTGAATAAGGTCATAATATTTCAAAAAATTACTATAGTGATCAAAAGATCTCAAAACTATTTAAATTAAATTATTTGTTTGTTATCTAATCAAAAGATAACAAGCAAATATATTCAAAAATAAAAAACAAATGAATTCAAATTATTATTAGATTTTTAAACAATCAAATAAAAATCATATCAGTAGTATATTCTCCAACATTTTTATCCACCAAACAAATTCCAATTATTATTTATTTATTAAACTGTTTTAGTGCCAACATAAGGCTTTACCAGGCCCAAAAAAAATTAGATCATTAGACTATTCGGTACATAAAGAATTTGAAACGATTGGTATGTAGCGACCATGAGGGAACCAAGCTCGCTCCGTCGCTTGTGATTTCGATTACTCTCCGATATTCTCTATTTCCTTCTTCTTATTGTCCTCGATTCAAGTTTCATTTTTGATACTCCCTTTTGTCAACTCTCAGAGATTCAATCACTTTTATTGCTTTCTCATTTCGTGTGGAACTTCCGATTTATATTCCGATTTCCGGGCAGAAATCGAGCCACTAGTTACTTTCTTTACAGGGTTTTTATAGGGTTTTGTTCTGTTCATTTGCCCTTTCTCCATTCATAAATCTAAGATTCATTCACATTTATTCAGAAAAGTTTCGCACTTTCTTGTGGAACTTCCGATTTGACTCCGCTTTCCGAGCAGAGATCTAGCCGTTCGTTAACTTCACAGGTCTTTTCTTCTAGGGTTTTGTTCTGTTCCTGTGTGTTTGCTGTGTTTCCTCTGGTAAACTAATTCATTTGCTTGAGCTTTAGCCAAAACCCTTTTGAGTCTTACGGTTGTTGATATATTTTTGTAATTTTGCTCAGGTAAGACCAGAATCCAAGTTGTATGATATGGACAGAATCAGTCAGCTGCCTGATGATTTGCTGGTGAAGATGTTATCGTTTGTTCCAACACAAGTTGCTGTGTCGACAAGCATCTTGTCTAAGCGATGGAACTGTCTTTGGATGTGGTTGCCTAATCTTGATTACAGTAGTAGATTTTGTTGTGGAGAAGGGTCTGCAGGACTTTGGGAATTTATTAACAAGAATCTGCCATTACATAGAGCTCCGGTCATAGAAAGCTTGCGTCTCGACCTCATTAGTCGTAATCCACTTTTTAATCCTGAAGATATCAAACGGTGGGTTGAAATCGCTGTTTCTCACAGTGTACGTGAGCTGAATATTACTTATGATTCAGATAATGGAAACATATTCCCGAGCAGCTTTTACACCTGCAAATCGCTTGTGGTCCTGAAACTCAGATAGTTGACTCTCGAGGATGTTCCCTCAACGGTTTGTCTTCCCTCTCTGAAAACCTTGGAGCTTGAAAGTGTTGCATACCCTAATCAAGAATCTCTTCAACGGCTTCTATCAATATGTCCTGTTCTTGAAGAACTATCGATGCATTATGATGGTGAACACGATAAGTGTTCACTGTTATTGTCCCGTCTTTACAGAGGTTATCACTCTATATTGGTCATGATTTGGTTTTAGAAGGGTATGTGATAGACGCTCCTTCTTTGAAGTATTTAAAACTTGATGACCAGAATAATATGGTACACTACTCTGATATTAAGAGTATGCCAAAGTTGTATGAAGCATATGTTGATTTTTTCTCACATGATCTCAAGAGTTTTATTGGATCAGTCACATCTGTCAAGCGTCTTACAATATGTTCACAGGTAATCATGTTTTGTTTTGTTTTTTTTTCATTTTATCAATTGCAAGTCTTTTCAATCTCAAATTTGTGGAATCCTCTGTTAATAACTTCTAATATCGTGGGTGCAGGATGATGTGTATGGTGATGGTTTAGTTTTTAACCAGCTTGAACATCTGACGCTATGTGTTTGCAAAAATGATTCGTTGAAACTCCTTGGCCAATTTCTCAAAGATTCTCCAAACTTACGAGTGTTAGACATCGGTGTAATAGAAGTAAGTTAATTAACTATCTTTGGTTTTGTCTGAATTGCGCAGTATGGTTTAATTCTAATTCTTCTGCTCTTAGGGTCATTGGATTGATGAGTGTGGTGAGATGGTTCGCTGGAATCAACCGAGTCCTGTTCCTCAATGCCTATTGTCGAGTCTACAAATTCTCAACTGGTCACGATACTTTGGGAGACCACAAGAGAGAGACATTGCGGTTTACATTTTGAAGAACGCTTGTGCTTAAAGAAGGCAACAATCTTGGCTGATACAGTGGAATATCGTGTGTCAAACCTTGAGATGATTAAGGAGTTGACACTTTCTTCCCGAGCTTCAAGCACATGCGAGCTCGTTTTTGTTGAGGATGATGCTGATAGAGAATCTGAATCTGAATGATCGTATAGATTCACTAGGGAATGTGATTGGAGGAGAAAAAGCAGATTCCGCAAGAAATGTTAAGACTTGTTCTTATGGAAACCCCAGTTTATAGACTTGTTCGTAAGTTTGGAGGCGTTGATTCTCAAATGCAAATGATTCGTTTAGAGGAAAAAAGCGATTCTTTCTCAAAGCTAATTTGCAATTAGATTTTGTAAGCAAAGGTGTGAAGAAAGAATCTTCACAACTCTATTAAAAGCTTAAAGCATTAAGAAATGCAAATGCTTTAAGCTTTTGATAGAGTTGATTAGGATTGGTTTTGGCTTAATCCCATATTGGAAATCAAACTAATGTTTGTTATAAAATTATCCGAAATGGGAGAAATCTTAAAGTGAATTTCGCCAAACTAGTAATTAGTTTTTTTTTTAGGTTTTATTAATGGAGGAGAAAAGCAGACTCCACTAGAAATATTAAGACTTGTTCTTATAGATTTTAGACTTGTTCGTAAGTTTGAAGGCGTTGATTCAGATATTGAGTAGAGGTGACGTATAAAAATTAGATTTTTTTTTTTTAAAAGATATTTTGGGTTTACTTTTCGGTTCAAATCGGATCCGAAACCAAATATAACCAATCGGTTTGCTAACCCTTGAGTCCTAATTTCACTCTCCTTCTTCTTCCTCACTCGACTTGACTTCTCTCTTCACACAGAAGCAATTCTGGTTCTTTAACTCAACAATTGGCGATTCTCCTAAGAAAAATCGAGGTAACAGTGAAAGTGATTGATCGTTTACATTTACCAGGGAAATGTGGGATTGGAGGAAAAAAACTCAGATTCCGCAGAAATGTTTGGATATGTCTTAAGCTAATCGGCTATTAGATGTGCACGTGAATAAACCCAATTGATCAAGTTTTAGACTTGCTCGTTTGGGAAGCTTGAAGATGTTCAATTCTAGGTTTTATTTCATCAGAATCTAGGTTTTGTCCAATTTCTTCGCGTGGTTATGGTTTCATTTGTTATTTCATCAAGTCTAGGTTTTGTCTTGTCCATTTGTTTCAAATTAATCGTTTGTTTGGCTTCAGAAGAACTTCGTTAGTCTTACGGTGATTTCTTCGTTTATTTTGTCAGGTTATGGGCAGAATCAGTGGGTTGTCTGACGAATTGCTGGTGAAGATCTTATCGTTTCTTCCAACAAAAGTAGCTGTGTCCACTAGCATCTTGTCCAAACAATGGGAGTTTCTTTGGATGTGGCTGCCTAAACTTGAGTACGGTAGTGAAAATCATTCAGTGTCTGAATACAAGAGGTTAAAGTGTTTTCTTGATAGAAATCTGCCATTACATAGAGCTCCGGTTATTGAAAGCTTCCGTCTCCAGATTCGTTATCCACATTTAGAACCTGGAGATATCAAACTGTGGGTTCTAACTGTAGTTTCTCGCTACGTCCATGAGCTGGATATTTTCTACTATCCTTGCCAGAAGAAGCTGGATATATTGCCGAGTAGCTTGTATACCTTTGCAAATCGCTCGTGACCTTGAAACTCGATGGAAAGATTCTTGTGGATGTTCCTCGTATGGTTTGTCTTCCTTGTCTGAAAACTTTGCAACTTGAAGCAGTGACATACCTCAATGAAGATTCTCTGCAACGACTTCTATCTAATTGCCCTGTTCTTAAAGATCTATCTGTGGAAGGATGTGAAGATGATAATATGAGAAAGTTCATTGTTATCGTCCCGTCTTTGCAGCGTTTAACACTCATAATATATAATGAGTTAGATGAGTTTGTGATAAATACTCCTTCTTTGGAGTATTTGAAATTTGATTATTCAAATATGAAGAGTCACCACTTTTTGATTGAGAATATTCCTAAGCTGGGGGAGGCATATGTAGATGCTATCTTTCCATGTATTGAGAGGCTTATTGGGTCAATCACATCTGTCAAGATTCTCATAATATGCCTATTAGGCAATAGTTCAGAGGTAATCAGATTTCTCAACTCTATGTCTTCAATCTCATTAATAGAATCTTCTGTTACTGATATTAATATTGTGCGCAGAATGTGTATGGTGATGGTTTTGTCTTCAAACAGCTTGTACATCTGAAACTATGTAAATGCCGAGCATATGCGTCGAATGTGGTTGTAAGGTTGCTCAGAGATTCGCCTAAATTACGTGTGCTACATCTCTTGGAAATGGAAGTAAGTTTCTTCGGTATACTATTATTGTTTCCATGATGCACACTATGGTTGTCAATCTAATCCTTCGTCTTGGATCTCAGGATCATGAACCTAATGGTGTAGTACTCTTCTGGAATCAACCAAGTACTGTTCCTGAATGTATGTTGTCGAGTCTAAGAACTTTCAAGTTTGAGAGGTACTTAGGAAGACCCGAAGAGAGAGATCTTGTGGTTTATATCCTGAAAAATGCCCGTCGCTTAAAGACCGCAACAATCTTGTCTGAAGATCACGAGTTTGAGACCCTTGACATGATACGAGAGTTGGCACTTTCTTCCCGAGCTTCAACTAAATGCCAACTTGTGTTTGATTGGTGATTTGTACTTCTTGTTCTCTCCTTGTCTAGCTTGCTGCTAAAACTGCTTGTGGTTAGTTTTCTATCATCTCGAGCTACATATTATGTGTATGATCATTTAGTAGTATAAATCATACACATAATTTGATCTTTTGATAGGATTTGTTCCCCTTATTATACTCTAGCTTGTTAAGAGATCAGAGAGGAATCTCTATCTTGAAGAATGCTTGTTTTGAGGTAGTAAAGATGCTAGAAAAAAATAGCTTCTCTTTCAGAGAATTTGGGGTTTTCGGTTGAGGTTTATAACCGAAACCAAATACAAACCGATTGGTTCGGTTAAATTCTTCCACCATTCGACCGATTCCTTCTTCTTCGACTTCTTCGACTTCTTCTCTTTTCTCTCTTCCGTTCGTGTTTGATTTCTGACAAGAAGCTCGAACAGGTCAAATCTACAATTTCATTCCTTTCAAGTCTCCGTAGAGAAATCGATAAAACCTCATCTCTCAAGAAAAAATGGAGGTAACAAATGAATATAAACGATCGTATGGATTGACCAGGAAATGTGATTTGAGAGTAAAGCAGATTCAGCAAAAAAAAAAAAAATTGTTGCAATCTTTATTAAGCTACTCGGAAAACCCAATTAATCAAATTCTAGACTTGTACGTCCAAAGCTTGAAGATGTTCAATTCTGTGTTCTATGAATCAAGCCTAGACTTTTGTCAATTTTTTTTTTTTTTTTTTATGGTTTTGGTGGCCCTCTTTAACCCAAAAAAAAATTGTTTTGTGTAGACCGAAGATGTTCTTCCGAGCTTAGAAGAGCAAGGAGTGCCACAAATGATTCAAATGTTAGTATGTACGTCTTCTGGTTTTGTTTCTTGAACTAAATCAGACTCAAAATGCAAATTCTTTAAGCTTCTAGAGTTGTGACGAGGATGGTTCTGCTTAAATCACATTACAATGTTGGTTATCAAGTTATCAAATTTTTGAAAATTAAATAAATATATATATATATAATATTAAAAAAAAAAGAGAATTGGTGAAATAAAATGCCAACTTCTTAAAGTTGAAATGATAACCAAAAAATTCCAATAACAGTATGGTAATTAAATGGTTGACGATCTATGGTAACTATTATATAGCATCAGATCTACATTGAACTATGAAATGAAAGTTTAAGATCTATATCCCCACGAAACGATAGTTCGAATCCTTATTCCCTAAACCTGAAAAAAATCTTCCAATATAGATCATTAGGGCATTAAACCATTAGTTCGCTAATACATATTCCAATTCAAATTTAAAACCGACCGTTTTGATGTGAATAAACTCTATTCCAGATTTTTCTAGGTTTTGTTCTGTTCCTTTGAGTGGCTGTGTTTTCCTTTGTGACATAAAGAGACGAGAGCAGAGAGAAATTGTAAAAAGGTTAGAAGCAACCGTGAGAGTGAAGAAATCAGAGTTCGATCGAGTCTTTGTGCTTCTTGGTGTTATACGCTCTTTCTCTATTCCCCTTTGCTATCTGAATCTTTAAGATACATATATATGGACAGAATCAGTGAGTTGCCTAATGACTTGCTGGTGAAGATATTATCGTTTCTTCCAACCAAAGTTGCTGTGTCCACTAGCATCTTGTCGAAACAGTGGGATTTTCGTTGGATGTGGTGGCTTCCTAAACTTGAGTACACTATTAGTTGTTATTCAAAGTCTGAATGCGAGAGGTTAAAGTGTTTTCTTGACAGAAATCTGCCATTACATAGAGCTCAGGTTATTGAAAGCTTCCGTCTCGGGTTTTATTATCCACATTTTGAACCTGGAGATATCAGACTGTGGGTTCTAACTGTAGTTTCTCGCTGTGTCCGTGGGGTGGAGATTTCTTATTATTCTGATTACAAGAACAAGCAGGATATATTGCCGAGTAACTTGTATACCTGCAAAACGCTCGTGACCTTGAAACTCTATGGACCGATTCTTGTGGATGTTCCTCGTATGGTTTGCCTTCCTTCTCTGAAAACTTTGCGACTTGAAGAGATGGTATACTCCAGTGAAGATTCTCTTCAACGGCTTCTATCTAATTGCCCTGTTCTTAAAGATCTATATGTGAAAAGACGTGCATGTGATAATGTGAGAAGGTTCATTGTTATTGTCCCATCTTTGAAACGTTTAACATTCCTTGAAGGTGATTATTTAGATGAGATTGTGGTAAAGACTCCTTCTTTGAAGTACTTGAAACTTGAGTATTTTAATTCTAAGATTCCCCACTGTTTGATTGAGAATATGCCTAAGCTGAGGGAGGCCTATGTAGATTTTAACTTTCCTATTCTCGAGAGGCTTATTGGATCAATCACATCTGTCAAGCGTCTTACATTATGCCAAGTAGACAACAGGTCAGAGGTGATAATTTTTCTCAACTCTATGGCTTTAAACTCATCTACAGAATCTTCTGTTAGTGTACGTGGTGATGGTCTTGTCTTCAAGGATGTTCTCTTTCGCCGTATCTCTTTTTGATCTGCATGAAAGTCCTATCTAATACAATTGACAGAGCAGTTAAGGAAAACAAGATGGAGTATCACCCGAATTGTAAGGATTTGAGTATCTCTCATCTTTGTTTTGCGGATGATCTAATGGTGATTGTCAAAGGAGATAAAAAATCCGTTGAAGGCGCCTTGCAAGTCTTCGACGATTTTGCCACACACTCAGGACTTCGAATCAGTCTTGAGAAATCGACAATATACATGGCTGGTGTTCGAGATGAAGTCAAAGATGAGATCCTAAATCAGTTTCCATTTGAGTATGGTTCTCTTCCGGTAAGGTATTTGGGTCTTCCCCTCCTCACTCGTAAAATGACAGCATCAGACTATCTGCCTCTTATAGAAAAAATCCGAACAAGAATATCATCCTGGTCTGCAAGATCTTTGTCCTTTGGAGGTCGTTTGCAGTTGCTTAGTTCAGTGATTTTCAGTCTTGTGAATTTCTGGATTCAAGCTTTTCGCCTTCCTAAATCATGTATTAACGAAATCGACAAGCTCTGTTCTGCCTTCTTATGGTCAGGTCCGGATTTAAATTCAAAAAAGGCTAAGGTTGCATGGTCGACGGTCTCACCGAAGAATGAAGGAGGCCTGGGTTTGCCATCTATCGATCTCGCCAATAAGGTTTGCATGCTCAAACTGATTTGGAGGATTCTATCATCTAAACAATCTCTGTGGGTGAATTGGATATCACGGCACCTGATACGAAGGGGCTCATTCTGGTCTGCTAAAGAAAATTCGTCCATGGGGTCATGGATATGGAAAAAACTTCTGAAATATAGAGAAATCACAAAAGGCCTCTACAGGTGGGAAATTAAAAATGGATATTCGATATCCTTTTGGCATGATGAATGGTGCTTGCTTGGTTGTCTCCTAGAGGCTCTTGGCCCGCGTGGCTGTATTGATCTGGGAGTGTCTGTAAATGAATCTCTTGGCAGTGTGTTGGATAGGCCACGAAGGAGAGCTCATTGGTTCCAAGCACTCACCATTGTCGAGGGTGAGATTAAAACACCTCGGCAAAACAGAGTGATAACCATGGCCGATACTCCTCTTTGGAAAAACAGAGTTGGGGAGTATATTCGGGTATTTCGAACCAAAGACACTTGGATTCAGATAAGGACTCCACAAGCTCCATGGAAGGATCATCTTTGCATTTGGTTTCAGCATGCCACACCATAGTATGCTTTTTGTCACTTGGTTGGCAGCAAAGAATCGACTGGCGACAGGAGACAGGTTGGAAAAGTGGAATTTTAATGCAAAGATGGACTGTTCTTTTTGTTCAGAGCCTAAAGAAACGAGGGATCACCTTTTCTTTCAATGCTCCTAAACGAGCAGGATCGTGGAAGCTTCCTTAGCCTAGTGGTTAATGGGTCTTTAATGTTTCTACACCAAGAAATCTGGGTTTCGAGTCTCAGAAGGTGCGATTTATTATTAATTTGCAGATTAATGGAGACAAGATTACATAATAGTTCTCATAATTTGTAATAGAATAATAGATCAATGTTAAAAAAAAAAAAACGAGCAGGATCTGGGAAGGCTTGGTCAAAACAGTCTTGGGAAACAGATGGTCGACGAACTGGCGTCAAATATTGGACACTCTGCAAGCTCTGAGGCGTAATTGCTCGGAAACGCTTATCCTTCGATATGCTCTGCAAATGGCTGTACACACAATTTGGAGAGAGCGAAACAACAGGCGACATGGTGAAGAGCATCGGTCTTACCAGCAGTTGCTCAGGGAAATGGATGTCAACATGCGAAATCGACTAAGCACAGCGAGATTAAAGGGCTCTAGATATGATGATGGGTTACAGCGGTGGTTCGCCACCCGGGTGGCCTAAAAAATTTCTATTGATGTTCTTGCTTTTAATTTCTGAAGCTTTAAACCTTTAAAGTTTGTTGTAAGTATTACAGTTTTTTTTCTTGAATACAATTTAACATTTATTCCAAAAAAAAAAAAAAAAAAAAGAAATCGAGGTAACAATGAACATTTGATGCACCAGGACATTTGATTGGAGAAAAAAAGCAGATTCAGCAAGAAATATGATATCTTTATTTTAGTGTTTGTTGTTTTGGTCGTGTGCAGGAGGAGAGAAGAAGCACAGAGATTTCTTAAAGATGATTTCATCACATTTGATGTACAATAGGGCTTTGTGTATAGTAAAGTTTGGTGTAACCTACTTCCAAAATGCTACCAAATTTTCTATATGTATATTTAAAAATTCATTATATCGTGCAAAAGAATATACAAAACATCTTCAAAAAGGGAAAGAAGAAAGTAGCAAAAACCAATACTAATAAGTAATAACTAAGGTACAAATCTGGACTGGTCACGAGTCTCACGACTTCCCCAGCTACTATGAGACTGTGAGTGATCAAAGAAATCAGAACTATAATCTTGACTCCCAAAAGCCATCCTCTGAAACATCCTTATCTGAGCAGATTGTTGTCTCGAGTCAAACACTTGGCTCTGTCCTGGTCTCATCCCATTTGTTATGTCCGTAGCTTCTTCAAGCGTGTCCAAAGCTCTCACCACTTGGCTCATCTTTGGTCTTTTCGCAGCTGAGTGGCGTACGCATGCAGCCGCAGCTTCCACCATTCGAAACATCTCTCCAGGGATGAAACTGTTCCCTAGCCTCGGATCCACTAGCCCCTCGAATACTTCGTTTTCGATTGCTTGGCTCAACAATGGCCTTGCCTGAAAACACATTTTGTGTACCAGAAGGAGGTTAAATAACCACTCATGGCAATTCAAGAACCAGTTTTACTCTACTTACCCATTCAACAAGGCTTTCATCACCAAGTGGCTGAGACGTATCTACAGGTTTCCGTCCAGTAATAAGCTCCAAGAGGATTACTCCATAAGAATATACATCAGCTTTCTCAGACAGCTTTCCACTTGTTGCATATTCAGGAGCCATGTACCTTCAGAGAAAATGGACAGTCAAAAATCGATTTGTTCTTCTCTAAGTAGTTGATGTTTTTACATGAATATGCACATACACACACATACCCAAAGGTTCCCATTACACGTGTTGAGACGTGTGTGTTTAAATCCAGTTCTTGCGCTATTTTAGCTAGCCCGAAATCCGCAACCTAAGGGAAACAAAACTTTCTCAAGAGTTTAGTGTGGTGAATGAAAATCTTTTTACTGGATAGAGTAAAAGCTAATATGATGTTACCAAGGCTTCAAAGCTGTTATCTAGAAGTATGTTGGAAGATTTGATGTCACGGTGAATAATCCGAGGATGACCTAACAAAAAGAAAAGCAGAACATAAGAAAGAAACAAAATCAAGATTGACAATAAGTGTTTGTTGTTTACTTACAGTCTTCATGTAAGTAGGCGATTCCACGAGCTGCACCAGCAGCGACTTTAACTCGAGTAGCCCAAGTCATGACCGGTCTTCCTGGAGCTGCAAAAGACACAGGCTTTGAAGTTAATGTAGTTCTAAAAAAGATAAACTTTACGGTTTAAGAGAGGTGAGGCATGTACCATGGAGATGGTAATGGAGAGTGTTGTTGGGTACATAATCATATACAAGTAACCTATGCTGCTCCGAGATGCAATAACCGACTAGTGTAACCAAATGTCGGTGATGAACCCTAGAAATGATCTCAACTTCAGCTTTGAACTCTCTCTCTCCTTGGCTTCCACCAATCTTCAACTGTTTAACCGCCACTTCCCTTCCGTCTGCAAGAACGCCTTTGTACACACAACCAAACCCTCCTTCGCCGAGGAGATTCTTCTCGGAGAAACCGCTTGTGACTTGAGCTAAGTCATCGTATGAAAACCATGATCTTTGGTTGCTAACCATGCCTCCTGAATCAGATGACGCATACATGTAGTCGTTACCAGAATGGCTCCTCATTTTAGGAGCTGAAGAATGGGAGTTGAAGAGCACTACATCTGTCAATACGAGTAATCAGTTACTAAACAACTCGATAATAGGTTAAGAAAGAAACATCATGGATGTGTTGATTCATTATCAGAAGCTAACAACTTAATAAGTGTGTGATCAGATACAGATTGAATGATTGATCAAGACATTAAGAAAATTCAGCAGCGGAAACTCAGTGAGAGTTTCATGATTATTAAGTTCTGAAACTAACCATACTATTCACAGCATTGTATAGACTAAGACACGGAAACACTCTCTCAGAAGCTAACTACTCGAGAAGTTTATGATATTAAGCAAAATCAGCAACCAAAACTCAGTGAGAGAAAGTTTCTGAAACTATCAGAAGCTAATTACTTCAGAAGTGTATGACAAGATAGAGATTCATCAAGACATTAAGCAAGATAAGCAGCCGAAACGCAGTGAGAGTTTCATGCTTATTGAGTTCTGAAACTAAACATACTACTCACAAAATTCAACACACATTGTATAGACAAGACAGAGAATCGCTCTCTCGGAAGCTCACCACTCGAGAAGTTTGTGCTTTAAAGCAAAATAAGCAACCAAACCTCAGTGAGAGCGAGTTTCTGAAACTACCATACTACTCACAACGCTTAATAGGCATTATTCATATACAGAATCAGAGGTGTGTCCTTGAAGGTTATATTTACCTGAGCCTTGAGGAGAGGAATAAGCGGAAGGAGGCATAGTATATCCAACAAAGGTTCCAGGGTCTTTTCTCTTTCGTTTCCGAGTAAACCACACAGCCGAAACAAAAAGGCTAAGCAAAACCAATCCAACAATCACTCCAATAGCTGCCATACCTCCAGTGCCAACACCGCCATTGCTCGATGAACCAGACGAGATAGTGTTGTTTCCGTTGTCTGAAGCTGGTCCAGTTGGTTTAGCAGTTGGTTTCTCTTTAGGAACAACCGGGTAACGGAGTTGGAGGAGGAGCTAAAGTAGAAGGATCTGTCGGAAACGAAGCAGGAGGAGGAGGAGAGGTGGCTTCTACAGGAGGAGGAGGAGGAGATGTAGTTGCTGGAGTTGACGGAGATGGTTTAGGAGGAGATAGTGTATTCGTCGGAGGCGAAGGAGAAGGTTTAGGCGGAGTAGAGGGTGTTGCTGGTGCCGGAGGTGAAGGAGAAGACTGAGGAGGAGCAGGAGGAGAGACGATTTGCGGCGGAGACGGTGGTGTTGTCGCCGGAGGAGGGGAAGAAACCACCACAGGAGGTGGAGGAGGGGAAGAAGCGACGGTAGGAGGAGGTGAGGAGACGACCGGTGGTGACGGTGGTGGAGAAGAAGACGGCGGCGGAGATGAAGCAGCAACCGGTGGTGGTGGTGATGATGATGCTACCGGAGGCGGTGTTTGCGGCGGAGAAGGAGGTGGTGTGACCGGAGGTGGAGCCGACGGTGTGGTAGGCTGAGACGGTAACGGAGGAGGTGCGGTGGTTGAAGAATTTGACGACGGTGGCGTTAAAATCGGCAAAGGAGGAACCAAACTCATTCTTTGATCACAAAATCTAAACTTTCCTTTCAGAAACTTCTTAACGATGCAATTCCACGAAAATCAACCCAAAAATGAAGCTTTTGAACAAAAACTAATCCCACCATTAGCGCAAAATAGATTGCCAAATCCCAATTATGCGGCGTAAGATCTAATTGAAGTCAACCTGCTTAAAACTCAACCTAATTTCCAAAAATCTTCAATGATTCCACAGTCCAGAAGGAAAAATCGAAGCTTTACACCGCAAAGTAGCCAAGTTAAGCTAGAAGCCGATATTCAGAGTAGTCGAGCCCTAATTTTCCCTAGGAATTCGAGAACCCAGAAGGGAAAGACTCAAGCTTTAAACACAAAATTAAGCACAACAGCATCAAAATCAAATTCAGAGCAGACCCAGATGAAGAAACTGTGGAAGATTCGAAATTGGAGGAAGAATCGAGAAGCAGAAAGTAGAAAGTAGAAGCTTTTGAGAAAAAAATGGAAAAAAAAGAAAGCTTTAAGTGAGGGAGGAATGTGGGAAAGAGAGAAGGGGAATGTGGTGAAAGCGAAGAGCGCGATTCTTGCTGGACAAACGTGGAGACAACTCTGTCTCTGGTCCGTATTTTTTGACAGAGCGATGAGAGAGAAAAGTAGAAGAAAAGAGAAGAGGAGAGAGAGAGAGAGTAAAAGACATGTGCGTAAGAGGGTTTTTTAGTTCTTCTTTGATCTCATTATAACATTTTCGTCTTTTTCTTCATTGACTTGAGCTTCTCTTGTTATTTTTTTTTTACTTTCTTCCAAATCTCAATTAATCAAATTATTCCTACATCATTTCACACAAAGTCACAAATTAAACAGGTGTTCAATTATGTTGGTGAGAAAAAGAATATATTTGAAAAAATTAAAGAAAAGAACAGAAATTACTCAATTACAATTTTCACGAGGAATAAGTTTAAAATTATAAAGAATTAAAAAGTAGATGGGTAGAAAAGGAATAATAAAAGAGAGAGAAAAAAGTGTTCATGGTGAATTACGAAGAAAAAGGATGTACATGTGCACACTAATCATGGTGATATTTGAAACTTTGTGCGCATGTTTGCTCCCTAAATCTGCTCTTTTTATATTGGCCATATATTTACTCGAATTAATACCGACTATTTCAATTTCTTTTTATCAAACAGTTTAAAAGTTTGAGGATACTTGACTAATTATAATTTATTTTATGTTAATTGTATGGGTGGTGGTGCATGGTTATTCTTAATTGGTGGATTCGATATGTTCAGTTAAATTTCTTTAACAAATGAGGCCTTCAACTTACTAACTAGTAGTTATATGGAAGTATCCAAAAAAAAAAAAAATTAACCGTTTAGACCAAAAAGTTTGAAGCACTAGTATATATGTGATGCTCTAACTCTTAGATGCTTTGGATATACTTGATTAATTATATTTTACTTTATGTTAGACGAATTGGTGTAAGGTTTAGAATAGTGTGAGAGAGACTCTAATTTTAAAAGAAGATTCAAATGTTCTAATATGAGGCTTCAAGCACATGCTTAGTCCATAAATAAATAATGTAGTGATAATAATTTTATAATAATTGGAGTATTATAGTTTTATTATGACTTTGTTTTGTCAACACTCAACAGTTAATTGCTTTCTTCCTTTATTTCATATTAAGTGATGTGTAAGCTAAAATCTTGGCATCTTGCGAAGAGTTTTTGTAGAATCGTTAGAGCATCTCTAATGTATTTCTCCATTTTTATCCCTAAAATGGAGGAACTGCAAAATGTTGGTGGCGGCCAAGAATAAAGAGATCATTGACAAATTAAAGAAGGAGCTCAACAGTCGGTTTGAAATGAAAGATTTGGGAGCAGCTAAGAAGATCTTGGGAATGGAAATTATCTGAGATCGAGAGAATGGGTTCTTATGGCTGTCTCAAGAGGGCTATTTGAACAAGATTCTGGAAACTTACAACATGAAGGAAGAAAAACAAGTTGTTACTCCACTGGGAGCTCATCTCAAGATGTGTGCAGCAACCGAAGAGAAGTTGGCCAGGGATGAACACTATATGAAATCTGTTCCATATTCTAATGCAGTGGGAAGCATCATGTATGCTATGATCAGGACAAGACCAGATCTAGCTTATCCTGTGGGAATTGTCAGTCGATACATGAGTCAACCGGTTACAGATCACTGGCTTGGAGTTAAATGGGTTATGAGATACATCAAGGGAACCTTGAAAAGTTTTCTGGTGTACAAGAGAAGCAATGATTTCATGATAACTGGCTACTGTGATGCAGATTTCGGAGCTGATCCTGACAAAAGAAGATCCATTACAGGTTTGGTATTCACGCTGGGTGGTAACACAATTAGCTGGAAATAAGGATTACAAAGAGTTGTTGCTCTCTCAACTACAGAATCTGAATACATGGCGTTGACAGAAGCTGTAAAGGAGGCTCTGTGGCTAAAAGGGTTACTAAAGGAATTCAGATATGAACAGAATAGTGTTGAAGTGTTTTGTGACTCGCAAAGTGCAATAGCTCTCTCCAAGAACAATGTTCACAATGAGAGAACTAAGCACATAGATGTGTGGCACCACTACATTCGGGAAGTGATTGCCAATGGTGATGTGGAAGTATTGAAGATATCAACTGAAAGGAATCCGGCTGATATCTTTACTAAAGTCTTGCCTGTGAACAAGTTTCAGTCGGCTCTGAACTTGTTGCAGGTAAATTCTGAGTAATAAAACTCAGGAATCTGAGACTGGAATCCAGGTACTAGATGCAGGCTACTACTACTCTCTCAATAGGGCAAGATAATGACTTGATCATCAGGTGGAGATTTGTGAAGACAAAGGATATGATGAACAAGTCAGTAAACTTGTTTATTTGACTCAGCGGTAATAAAGAAACTTACCTGCAACGGTTATATTTCAAACTGCAGTAAGTTTGCTTTTGGGACCACTTTTCTTGGTGAATTGGCAACTGCTTAAAAAGGCAAGACACAAAGTTTGCCAAACCCCTTAAGGACTTATTGTCTGGTGTATACTAAAGCAGTAAGTCTCGTGCTATGGTCTGCAACACGAAGAAACCGAGACTCAGCTGATAACAACGTATTTTGACCACTTTCATGGATCGTTTTGAAATACTTTCTCTATGTTTTTAATTGCTTTTAAGTACTTTTATTACGTTTTTCTAGTATTTGTAGTTCCAAGACTCTTTTCAGGTAACTTTGGGAAAAGCTTAACAAAATGGATAGAAAACCAGATTTCAGCTCAGAGTCAAACCGTCAGAAATTCACCCCCGATTAAAGGCCTTCTCACCGTCTGATCCAGCTCAAATTTGGATATCTTAAAGGTGGAAGTATCAGATTTCCAGCACACTTTACAGCTTGGCAATCCAACGGTTCAATCAAAAGATACGCGAAGAGCAAGATGTCCCGTAAACCAACCGGCAAGCGTTTCCACCCGCGGCCAACAGACCAATCCCTGCGGTCACGCACATCCCGACCGCGGCCGGCCACCTATTTCCCGCGGTCACGCACATCCCGACTGCGGCCAGCTAATTCCGATTCCGAAGGCCTATTTCTGAAGCCCATATCATTTTCCCAGCCTTGATTCCGGAACCCTAGACCCTAGAGATGTCTTGAACACTATAAATACATGTTTTAGGAACCCTAATTCGTATGACCTCATATGCTCTTACTGTTTTAGAATACTTTTTAAGTTTTAGGTTTTAGGGAGAGAGAGATTTGTCTCTTGAACCCTTGTTCTTTCTTTTTCAATTTTGGTTTCTATTCTACTTTTTAATACTATGTTTTTGATTTCGTTCATCATGTCTGAGTAGTTTTATTATTGGGATTAAGGGATTTTCGATGGGGATTTATATGTTCGGTGAGGATTCCATGAGCTTTTGAGCCGAATCTTAGAACTTTTTCTTCTGAATTCGTTTTTACTGCATGAGAGTAGCGTCATGAACTACAATCTGATCCAGATGCTTGGTGACACGAAAGTGTTCATCCGGTGTCAGATCTAGTTTGGGAGAGCAAAACAAACATAGGAGTGGAAACCTACCTATGAGCGATTTGTGAATGCTGACGAGTCTTAAACATAATGCATCTCTTCTTTTCCAGGGCCAGAGTGGAAACCTACTGGTCAGGGTTGAGAGTGATAGTTGTCTATGATCACGACAGTGGCGAATTCATACGTCCGTGACTCCAGTTCGAAAAGTTTAAGCTAAGATCTTATCAAATTTACTCTCTAGCAATGTTTTGAATCGTCCATACCCCTAAGAAAACTTCCCTGAACCCCAGCGCCTCTTTTCTTATAGATTTACACCGATTTTCATTCAAGCTTTAGTCTAGTTTATTTACTCTTTCAATCGATTTTTATTTGAGCAATTAGGTTAGCTGTTTTTCCCGTTTTTACCCGTTTTCATTAAGTTTAGTTATTAGGTTATTTTAATTACCGTATTTTCTCTTTAGGATTTGTTTTTACATTTTAAACACACCACCAAAACCCTCACAAACCTGGTTCTAGACTTCCTTACTTTATATTTCTTTCAAAGGCTTTTGCAGGAAAGATCCTCCTTCCATGTGGATTCGATCCCTAAATACTACAATCGATCAGTTGTGCACTTGCGGCTATTGATTTCATTTAGGGTAAAACTTGACAACCCTCAACACGACACCGCATCATCAGCCTTGGCGTTTGGCGTTTGAGAAGGTTAGCGTTTTGCAGTTGAGTCAAGTGTGAAGCCCTAATTCGAAGCAGCTATAAAGCGAGTGTGGAAGAGAGAGAGAGAGTGGTAAGAAAGACTTGAGTGTTAGAAGAGAGTTTCATAGATTAGAGAAAACTTGTTTAGCATAAGCTTTGGTGTTGTTTTCTTGGTACAAGATTGATTCGAAGAGTTTCTAAGTGCTAGTGAAGGGCATTAGGCAGGGCTCTTGTTTAGTCTTGTTGTATAAAGCTACTCTCTTTATCTAGTGGATTCCGAGACAAGTTTTGGCGAGACGTAGCAGTTGTTTAATACCGTGAACTCGTTAAATCTTGGTGTGTGCTCCTGTCTTTTATATTCTTTCATATTTCTCTGCAAATATCTTGTTCAAGATCTCTTATTCCTTGTGAACACTCTGTTCTGTGTCTTCCTCATTTCGTTATTGTGTCTTACACCCATATCTTGGTTTGTTGTGTCTCAAGTCCAAGGAAAGTCGACATCTTTGGGCCTCTGAGTCCTAACAGTGGCCATAAAGTAATTACAGAAAATGTAAAGATTAGAATTCAAGTAATGAACTAGATATTACCCGAATCTTCCGCTTCGAATAAGTTACCTATCAATAGCCACGACCACCTCTTTTACCGATCGAGTTAGGAAACCCGAGCCAAAATTCCTGAAAGCATCTCAATAGACTTTACTATGATCTTGTGAAATGGAACATTTCAAAGATCTTAAATCTAGAGTTAAGAACTTTGTCTTCCATAACGTAACATCAAACATTCCCAAAGCTGGTTTCACTTTTTTTCTTTTGTGAGCAACCAAGATTATATTAATAGACATTCAAGCTCTAAAAAGGGAGGAATGATTACATTGTTTGTACGAATTCAGCCACCAATCTTGTAAACCATAAGGACATCTCCAACCCTACCTCATTTCTTTCT